CCGGCTTCTCCCTGGCCGAGGACGGCCGCCGCTGCCACGACGTGGACGAGTGCGCCGTCGACGGCGGCGCCGGCTGTTCGCACGGCTGCGTCAACAAGGAAGGCTCTTTCCGGTGCACGTGCCCCGACGGATACGTGCTGGGGGGAGACGCGCGCACCTGCGACGACCTGGACGAATGCGCCGATTCGCCCGGGTGCTCGCACTCGTGCGTCAACACGCCCGGTTCGTTTCGCTGCGCCTGCCCCTCCGGCTTCGTGCTGGCGGACGACGCGAGGACCTGCCGCGACGTGGACGAGTGCGCCGAGGCGGCTCACGGAGAGGAAGAGAACGAGGAAGGCTCGGGCCGGCGGCGCTGCAGTCACAAGTGCGTCAATGAGGTAAGAATTGTGGATGGAAAGTTTCTTGCTCCATCGCGCATTGAAGTCTCCAATCTAAAATGAACGCGTTTACTCTACTTTCATCCTGCATTCGTTTTCATTTAAATATAGATATATCCCATATTTAGAAATTATCCTAATAAATATCTAATTGAGCAATTCTTCGTTTTACCATTAGCGTTACCGCCACCGTTTTCTCTTCCACTTCCAGTTTAATATATATCGATATCCAGTTTAATATATATTCGATTTCATAAAAATCATCGTTTAAGTGTTTCTGTTGGCAACTGTCGGATGTATTTGTCACGTAGTTGTGATCAATAGTTAAGCCTAGAGGCGGATTAATCGTTTTTGGAAGCATACTTACGTTTGAAATTCATCTTGTCCCTATAGCAATGTTTTGCCTCATTGACGCCGCGCCCTAGGCACATGTGTCGTTTCGGCCGCCATTCTGCGACCTTCCTCAGGACGAGACGCGAGGAAGGTCCCAGAATGGCAGCTGAAACTTTGGCACCTGTGGCCGGGACGTAGCGTCTATCGGACAGACAGATAACTACCTCTGCTCTCACACAACGGCGTGTCCGCAGGTGGGCGGGTACGCGTGCAGCTGCCCGGAGGGCTTCGCCCTGGGCGCGGACGACGCCACGTGCGAGGACGTGGACGAGTGCGCGTCGCCCGGCGCGCACAACTGCTCGCACGGCTGCGTCAACGCGGACGGCTCGTTCCGGTGCACGTGCCCCGAGGGGTACGCGCTGGCCGGCGACCGGCGCACGTGCGAGGACGTGGACGAGTGCATCGACGGCAACCGCGTGGACGTGTGCGCGCACAAGTGCGTCAACGTGGCCGGCTCGTTCCGGTGCGAGTGCGAGCCGGGCTACCGGCTGGCCGGCGACGCGCGCTCCTGCGCCGACGTGAACGAGTGCCTGGCCGACAACGGCGGCTGCTCGCACCTCTGCGCCAACACCGCCGGCGGCGCGCAGTGCGCGTGCCCCGACGGGCTCCGGCTGCTGCCCGACGACAAGACCTGCGAACCGGTGAGTACCTTTTTTTCATTTGGTTTATTTATCGTACCTCATGTGTTTTGGGAGGGCGTCTCAATGTCGGTTTCCTCGAGTTCCTCAAATTACCCAAAGCTAGTAATCTCAGCATTGCCATCGTGTGGCGTTTATTTTGGGATTTAATTATAAAGTGAATGAAGATGTTGAAGATGAGGTGAATAATGAATATGAAGACAATGGACGTGATCCATAAATTGCACTTGGTTTCGACGGGGATGGAACCCCCTTCCCCAGGGGTGGAAGGCGGGCAGTCTGACGCCTACATTACTTGTCGCCCCTACGTCTTATATTTACCATGAAAATTAAACATTCATATGGTCCTGTCTCTCTGGTTCGGAATATTGGTCTAGGCTCGCTTGTCTCAGGGGCTTGGAGTGTCATCTAAGTACTTGTTTTGTCGGGAAACACATCCACGCGTTTGTCGGAAGAGTGCGTCCTCAGTGTGCCCGTTCCCGCTCGGCGTAGATGGACGCGTGCGCGCTGGACAACGGCGGCTGCTCGCACGGGTGCCGGTCGGGCGCGGGCGGCGCGGCGGAGTGCGTGTGCCCGGCGGGCTGGCGGCTGGACGCGGCCGACGGGCGCGCGTGCCGCGACGTGGACGAGTGCGCGGAGGAGCGGCCGTGCGCGCACCGCTGCGTCAACACGGAGGGCGGCTACCGCTGCGAGTGCCGCGCGGGCTACCGCGCGCCGCCGGCCGACCCGCGCGCCTGCGAGGACGTGGACGAGTGCGCGCGCCGCAACGGCGGCTGCTCGCACATCTGCGTCAACACGCGCGGCGCGTTCCGGTGCGCGTGCCCGCGCGGCTACGCGCCCAGCCAGGAGGACGGCGCGCGCTGCGAGGACGTGAACGAGTGCCTGTCCGGCAGCGTGCGCAACGGCGGCTGCAGCCACATCTGCAAGAACCGGCCCGGCGGCCACCGCTGCGCCTGCCCCGACGGCATGCGCCTCCGACGGGACAAGCGCACCTGCGAGGACGTGGACGAGTGCGCGCACGGTAGGCCCTGCCTGCGACTCTCTCGCTTCTCCATTATTCACTTACGGCATTGATCCGTCTCCACGCACTTTCTTCCTTCCTTTCTATCTCTTTTATTCTTTTGTTTCATTCCTCCTTTCTTTCTTTCTTTCTTTCTTTCTTTCTTTCTTCATTCTCTTTTTCCTTCCTTCTTTTTGCTTTCTTTATTCTCTTTCTTCGCTTTTTCTTTACCATTCGCTTTCCCCTTTTCTCTGAGCTTTGCCCCTTTTGTTTAGTTTTAACGACATCCATGTGATCCCTCTCCCTCTCTTTCCTTTTCCTCTTTCTTTTTTTTCTTTCTTTCTACCACCTTCTTTTCGTTATCCCATCTTCTGCTTTTATACCAACTAGTAGATCCTCTGCGAATAATTCGCATGAACGAATAATTCGCAGAGCTCTTAAACACAAATTTCTTCAATTCTCGAAGAATTGTTGACTTCCTTCTAGGAAGGAAATTGCATGATAAAATACAGATGTCTCAGAACAAATGTTACAAACGTCTTGGTCTAACATTATCGTGTTTTGCCAGTATACATGTGGTGGGAAGTAACATACTACGAAGTTCGACATACCATATTTGACACGTAGTACAGGATGTGTTCCTTACAAGTCAGGGGCAAATGTTACATATTTAAATTTATTATCAGAGATTCTCCACCAAATGACAATTGTTGACACCCCTGCAGGCCCTAGATGTTTGTGACATTGATTCTGAAATATTCTATAGTTCTTCGCCAAACTAGTACCTGTGTTTTGTAGTACAGTTATTGGTGAAGGCACCAGAACTTGGCAGATTGCAGCACCCATGCACATCTGTGTTCTTACACATCTAGTGTATGAACAATTTGTGTCAAACGGTGAAATGGTAATACAATATTAAAAAGCCGGTAATAGTGAATAGAAAATTGAAAAAAGCAATATACTTGCATTTTACCGTATTTACAATGTACACATTTTTCTTCTCTGCCCTTTTATTTGCCCTTCATCTATCGCGTTTTTTCTTGTGCATTTTTTGTTAGTTTTCTCTATTCCTCTTATTGTATCTGTTCGCTTTCTTTATTATCTTTCCGTTTGTGGTCCATCGTTTGCACCGCTCATTTTATTTTTACTTTCTCTAGTATATATTTGTTCCTTTTAAGAAATTTGTTCCTAAAAACTAGATCTTGAAATAATTTTAAAAAATCTCTGCATTTTTGAAAATTTCAAACGCAGATGTTCATTTTTAAAGCTTCTAGAAGGTTCGGTATGGCTGTGCCGCAGGTGATGTAGGGGTAACGTCAATGGCGCGGTAACTTTAGGGACCTGAGTTCGAACCCCAACGCGAAGGAAAATTCGCTGGTTGCAAACGCTTTTCAGGTTCCTGTAGTACTATAATTTTGCAAATGATACAAATAGTGTGAGAAAGTATTCGCTGTTGTGCTGGTGTAGCATCACTACTCTATTGTTCCAAACTTCGCACATTCTGCACACTTACAAAATTTCTATTTGTATCTATAATCGTATTTTCTCTATGCATTCTTTATTTCCGTACGTTTTTCATGTATTTTTCCTTTTTAATTTATTCTTTATTGTATTTCCCGTTTTTTGTTATCTGAATAATATAAGTTTCGGTCAGCAAGACACGTCTAAACCCAGACATCGAGTTTTTAATTAAATACAGTAGCTAAAAATATTCAATTGTCGGTAAAAGCGTAGTTTTGAGATTATACTGTTGCCTGCAATAAGATATTCTTCACTATGGCATAATCTGAGCAAGAATAATAATTTTCTCTTAATTTACAAAATTGTTTATTTTACCAATAGAATATTTCAAGACAAATATTTTTGTTGGAATAGGCCACTACTTTGTTAAGTTTGCTGGATTTCTTCATTTTATGGTACGTTATATTAACAGTAGTTCATCAGCATAATCAAAGAAAATATAATAAGTGAAATTAAAATAATTACTAATTCGAACAGATAATTACCAAGTTCATAATTGAAATTAAAATATTAATACACTATTTTGTTCTCCATATATTCACTTATTCCAGAGCTTCTTTTCATGTTTTTATTATAAGTAATTTTTCACTTGCACATTTTCAAACATTTGTTCGAGTAGGCTGGTTGGGGTAGATGGGTTCAAAATGTGAGAAAAACTACAAACAACTTCCTCTCGTGAAAGAAACAAAAAATGTATTTATGTCCTTGAAAAGAAGGCTATCTGCTGGCGTTTCGTGCGAAACGTTATGCAAAAACTGGCTGGATAATTTGTCATTGATTACGATAAAAAAAACTAGTTCATCAAAATGTTTTATTAGTGTCAGTGTGGGCGAAAGAACTTGATTCTGATTGCGTTTTCAGCACTCCTTATTATCGTAATGAGTGGAATTAAATTGCCATCGCTCTTAAATAAAATGTATTTAGCAGACGCGGAAACCAGTTTGTCATATTTATTGCACATATCTTGCCCATAAAGTATCCCAGCTAGAACGAATTTCAGCAACGAAGTTCGATCGCTTTCATTGAAGACTCGTTCTCGGTTCTTGTTTAGAAGAAAAATGAAGTTTACGATCGATAGCACCTTCACCATGATATGTGATCTAGAGGCCACGACGCCACGAAGTGCATTTTTTATTTCCTAAATTAATGAAGGGATACAGATTTTACTAACGGCAATATTTAAAATAAATCTTCACTCCTACTCTCTGTTTAAAAGACTTTCACAAGAGTTGATTGATCACGTACAACTGAAAAAATCAAATAACATTGTTATACAAGAAATATTAATGTTGACGTTGATTAGCGAGGTATTTTAATTTACAGCCACACTGTTGAATTCAATGAGTTGTTTCTTTTCTTGTTTTACAAAATGCATTGCAAGATTTGTTAGTTAAAGTTTAAGTTAAACCAAGTATTCACATTTAGGTATCTCAGAAATATCTCTCGCCTGTTTCTCGCCCAAAAAACACCACCTTTCTCTGCTAGTTGATGAAAGGAGCGTAGCGAAATTTGCGTGGTCAGACGGAAGAGCGGGCCTGATGGCCCGAGTCTCGCCACGTAAAATAAGGCAAATTCAATTCAATTCAAAATATACATTTCCGGAAATTATCCATAAATTTAAAAAAAGTGCCAAATGAGCATACTTGATATTTCCCAACATACTCGTGATTTTCCTGTTGGTCACCTCTGAGAATCCATTCACACGATTTATATTATCCGAAAATTCCAATGAACATTGCATGCCTCAGAATGATGGATAGGATATTTTCGTTCACACTTCGTTGTTGGATGCATTCGTGGGATCGTCGAACCTATAACCGTGCTCTATTCCAATTTTAAAAGATTACTGAAATATATTGAGCGTCCTATATCTTTACCTATATCCTTATACCATGAGTAATAATATGCAACCCGTTCTCCCCGCTCTCGCAGTTTCTAGCACTACATTCAGGTAGCAAAACACATTCGCAGGTAGCCTTAACATACAATAGTTACCTTACCAAAACCAAAAACTCGCAGAGGCTCATGACATGGCGACGTCGAGAATTGAGTCCTTGCATCTTGCCACGAGCAGCGCTGAAATCACATGCAACAGAAGTTGCCCAGCGAAATGAAAAAAAAAACTGCTATATTTTTTTTTCTTACAAAAAGCATACATCCTGGTCGGTCATGTTTCTGAAATGCAAGTATAATTACATGGAAATTATACCACGTCAAAGACGTGCTTTAGCAGCGGGTATGACGTGCGTGTCCAGGCAACGGCGGCTGCATGGGCCGCTGCGTCAACACGCCGGGCTCGTTCGTGTGCGTGCCGGAGGACGCGTGCGCCGACGACAACGGCGGCTGCTCGCACGCGTGCCACACGCGGCTGGACGGCGGCGCGTTCTGCACGTGCCCCGAGGGCCTGCGCCTGGCGGCCGACGGCCTGCGCTGCGACGACGTGGACGAGTGCGCGCGCGACAACGGCGGCTGCTCGCACCTCTGCGTCAACACGCACGGCGGGTGAGTCCGGCGGCGCTTCGGGCGTTCGCCTTTGTTGTACAGCATGCCTCTGAATAAATGTTGCTAACTTCTAGGACATGCGCCGGTCGAAGATGATTACGTTTTGCCGAGTAACATGTGGTGGGAAATTTCGTATAACAAAGTTATTCATGTGACATTTGTCCCTCATAGGTTGGTAGCTCCTGATAGTGGGTATTGTGTAGTAGGGTTTAGAGATCACGTTCTGACGCAGTCAATGGGATTTCGTATACCTACTTCTACAGAACCAGAATTCTGCCAGGGGTATTAGAAATCCCTGGAATTTACATCTTTTCTTACACCCGTCCTAATAAATAGGGTACCCCCGAACAATCTAGCTGATAGACGTCCCAAAAATATGATGCGATCTATATCCCCCAACTCCTTCGATACCATCGACCTCACCAACCACTTACATTGCACCACCGCACAGATACCACTGACCCCACTGACCTCATCATTCAAACTGGTTTCATCAATCCCATCACTACTGACTCCAACAACCCCATCGACGGCTCCCATTGATTTCATGGAACGCATCGACTAATCAAGCACATCGACTAACCAGTCACATCAACCAACCGACCACAACAACCAACTTACCATATCGACCAACAGATCACATTGACCAGATGACCACATCGATCTACTGATCACACTGACCAACCAATCTCCTTGACTAACAGACCACACCTCCTACACCGGCCCATCCCACCGATGATTCAATCTCATATCCGGCGCAGTAATCAAACGCTCTGTCATACAAATCCGAATCCACCGCCCACCCCCGCCAAGAGACAAGGTGTAGACCGCGGACGCCCTGCAGCGCCGGCTCGTGTTGCGGCCGCAGGTTCACGTGCGCGTGCCCCGAGGGGTTGGAGCTGCGCGCGGACAACCGGTCGTGCCGCGCGGCGGACGCGTGCCTGCGGCTGCGCCACCGCTGTGCGCACGGCTGCGCGGTGGCCCCCGGCGGCGGCGCGCGCTGCACCTGCCCCGCGGGCTACGAGCTCAGCGCCGACGGGCGCACGTGCCGCGACGTGGACGAGTGCGCCGCTCCGGCCGCGCACCCCTGCGACCACTTCTGCGTCAACACGCCCGGCGCCTTCGAGTGCGGCTGCAAGGACGGCTTCCTCAAGATGGGGCACCGCTGCGTCGGTGAGTAGCTGCGCCCTTTTTTTTTTTCCCCTCCACGATTCAGTCGTACAGCGACCATTGCGGTTGCTTTAACTGTAGATTACCTGTAACATGAACGAACACAAGGGCAACACTTTTTTTTTAACGATTCAGTCGTATAGCGACCACTGCAGTTGCTTTAACTGTAGATTACCTGTAACATGAACGAACACAAGGGCACAACTTTTTTTTTATTTTTTATTTTTTAACAATTCAGTCGTATAGCGACCACTGCGGTTGTTTGAACTCTAGATTACCTGGAACATGAACGAACGCAAGGGCAACATTTTTTTTAAACAATTCAGTCGTATAGCGACCACTGTGGTTGCTTTAACTGTAGATTACCTGGAACATGAACGAACACATGGGCAACACTTTTTTTTTAACGATTCAGTCGTATAGCGGCCATTGCGGTTGCTTGAACTGTAGATTACCTGGAACATGAACGAACACAAGGGCAACATTTTTTTAAACAATTCAGTCGTATAGCGATCACTGCGGTTGCTTGAACTGTAGGTTACCTGGAACATGAACGAACACAAGGGCAACATTTTTTTTAAACAATTCATTCGTATAGCGATCACTGCGGTTGCTTTAACTGTAGATTACCTGCAACATGAACGAACACAAGGGCAACACGAACTAACACAAACATCCGTGCCCGAGGCGGGATTTGAACGCGCGACCCTTCGAGTCAAGGCAGCTAAGGCCTTTCAGCCTTAGCCGCCTCGGCTAGCCAGGCCGGCCTGTGCGCTCATTTGTTGCTTTTTCTGTTTTTTAAGGTCGCTTTTCAACTGCTACGTTGATACAGCGACCACTGTCATTTACTTTGGGGTAACAGTAGCGAAGATCGCATGCGGACACACACACATAAACATCCATGCCCCGGGCGGGATTCGAACCCGCGACCCTTCAGGCACGAGGTAACTACGGCCCTTCAGCCTTAGTGACCTCGACTATCCGGACCGGCTGCTCATTTGGTTATTTGAGTTATTTGGCGTCCAAAAATAGTAAAAAGGTGTGTGTGTCGGCCCGATGTCTTAGGTCGCTAAGGCGCGAGTGCTGCTGTGGGCTCGGTTCGGTGCGCTTCGTGTCCTCCGTACCGACTCGTTAACCTCAGGGCCAGCTGACTCTGCAGTGGCTCTGACCACGAGTTCTTAGGGTTGGCTCTCGTCGATTTTTTGACGCTAGCTAGACTGCTTTGTTGGGATGTTTTCCGTGCTTTCTCTTGTCAAAACCAGAGGAATGCCGGATCATCACCCCATGAAACGGGTAATGGTCCGCGCGCAATCTTTCCTTCCTCCTCCTTGTCGTATAATCTCCCCTTACTCACACTTTTACATCCACTGCACTACCACTCATGTCAGGAGACCAACCGGGTCCTAGAGCTTGTCCTGGTTGCGGCGGTGCTTCGTTGCGAGGGGGGATACATGTGGGGGGAGGTACTTGGAGGGGCAAACCGTCGTGTAAATCGCCGCCGACCATCCAGGAGGAGGAACACCGCTGCCTCCGGGATAAAACATTCACTACACTAACGGGACTAATGACCATTACAACTGATGGACATGACATGATTGACGAACATGGCGTGATTGACGTATTGGGAAATTAATTAGTCAAATAAACAAGTTAGCTGTGCCTAATGACGTACAGTAAATCAATCTCTAGTTGTGCCTTTCATAGATGTGGATGAATGCCAGACTGGTGTGTGCGAAGGTCGCTGTGTGAACACAGTTGGGTCGTATTATTGTCGTTGCGACCCTGGATATCGACTACAAGGTGGAGTCTGCATTGGTAAGTCGAACACTACTTAAGAAATTCATGAATTTCAATGTCTGAAGTAGCGTTTTGTATTCTGAAGAACTGACTGTTATTGTGAAAAAATTGTGTAATACTAGTATTTTCTACCAATTGCGCATTCGGAATACTAAGTCTGCATTAACTAATTTGTACACAGAAACGATATCGCGTTCCAGAATCGCGTCACAAACATTACAAAGCAAACACTTTCGTAAACCTCCAAACCGTACTAATTGTATTACCATAATGGACATATCTTTTTCGTTTCAAAACCTAATTATTTAGCATACTAAAATATTGTTGCATGTGGAATTCTGCATAACGTACAACCTTTTGTAAGTTTATAAAACCTCTTCCCTTTACCTATTTTTTATTACAAATCATTTAAATTTACCTTTAACTTACTTAACTACATGATTGCAGAAATTATTATTAATATTCAATTATAAAAATACTGTTTGACGTAGTCTTCGCGAAATTATAATTATATCACAGTACAATTGTAAAATATCGCACTGGTTTGCCTTAGAACAGGGCTGTCCAACTGGCGGCCCGCGGTGTCGTTTATTGTGGCTCGCGAAAGGTTATTAGACAAATATGAAAGTCCCTTGCATCAATGACGGGAGAGTATATTGCGCCTAGTGTATGCACCCTGTAGGAGTAAACACCCCCTTAATATAAAAGTAGGTTAGGTTTAGATTTAAGATTTTTTTCTAGTAAATTCAATAATTCAATATCATCCAAATGTGTTTCACTGCGTTATGCATAGTAGAGCATGGTAGATATCATGCATGACCCCCCCCCCCATTTCAGAGCAGCTGGGCAAACTGCCGAGATCAACAATACGGGGTCACGTGTGTATCGCCCGAGTAATGAAAATATGACCCGCAACCATATTAAAGATTTTAGTTGTGGTCTTGAGTCCTTGAGATCTTGCAAGTTGAACACCCCTACCTTAGAATATTCCAAATTTGCTACACCCCTAAATTATAAACGTAACGTAAATCAAAAAAATTGAAAACTCTTGAATTGCTTGATTCATTTGTTAACGTAAATTGCAAGTATCATCAGAAAGTTTCTTGAACTTTAAAATTGTTGATATATAGACTGTATAATGTTTAGGACAATGCAGAATCTGTATAGTACACATTTAACATATACGGTAAGCAAATGAATTCATATTGTTTTAACACAAGTTACGTTTTATTGTTTCTTTGTAATCCAAATTAATTATAATGACTGTCACTTTTTATTACAAACTGTTTCTATTTCCCATTAGATGTTGATGAATGTGAAGACCCAGAATCTGCATGTCCTCGAGGAAAATGTCTCAATACTATTGGCTCATATCGCTGCCTCTGTGAATCTGGCTATCGCACTGTGGGTACTCGATGTGTTGGTAAGTCACACGCATATCATTACAGATCGTTGATTTTTTAATGATGAAATGTTGTTTGTAATAAGGGGATTTAAAGTTAATTTGTTTGCTGAATCTCATATTAATTATTTATTTAATAGTTTTCCCTTCATACGGTGGTATTTTGGGATAATTTTAAATTTTTATGTCTTTTAAGCATAAGTATTGATATAAAGTGAAATAAATTATCATATGATTTCGACGGAACGATTCTCTATATTTAATGTAACACAGATCTCGTATATTGACAAGAAAGGTGACGTGTGTCTTAAATTCGACACGTCTGTGATTTGAGGAAAAAGATGTCATTCTCTTAAAATTATAATTTCTGTTGATTCCTCGGATAACGAATATGGCATTAGTATTAATATTTATCTTATATTTTTGTGTTTTTGTTACATTACTTCCTTTCCTGTACCTGCAAAATTGTTTGTGATTTCCAGATATTGACGAATGTGACCGCAACAATGGTGGATGTTCTCATCTGTGTATCAACACACCTGGTTCATTCTCTTGTTCTTGTCATTCTGGTTACCGATTACATCACAGGTATGAGTTATTTTATCTTTGACCTCATCAGTCACATACCTACAACGTTGTTACCCAAATGTTTTTCTGATGCCTTATATTCACATAATTCACGAAGTAATACGAAGTCATATTGATAGTATTTTTTTTCATTTGTTGCTTTCTAGATTAACTAAGAGTCATTTTCACAAGTAATAGTACAGAAATCTTTTTAAACGCGCTGAAACTAACAATGATGCGTGATACATGATTTTTTTATTCTTAAAAAGAAACATATTTCGTGATTTTGTGTAAATTGTCTTCGGGCAAAATTTGCGCAAAGTGTGTAAATACCCTCTTAAATTGTCATTCTCTGATTTTTTAATCTTAAGCAAATGATTTATTTTTTTCAGAAACCGCACAGAGTGTGTAGATATCAATGAATGTAAAGAACACAATGGTGGTTGCAATATGGATTGTGTGAACACCATTGGCTCCTTCCATTGTGTGTGCAGTGATCACTTCATTTTGACTCCAGATGGTCTCACATGTGTCGGTATGTAAAATGCTTACCCATATTTTCTATGCCTTGTGATTGATACTAGTCTGAACACTTCAAACTACTTAAATAAGATACAATAAGAAAAGTGACTCACGCAATATAACAAAAAACTCTGAAGATAAATTTAACAACTGACATTAATTAATTACAATGCGTTAAATGGCGAATAAATAACTCCGAGAGCAAAATTGACCAAGAGGCCAAGTAAGTGAATGCCAGTGTAGTCTGCGAATTAATTTGAGAATGAAGATAGCATGTCGCCGCCCCCTGGATATGGGAAACATCCGCTCACCCTACCTCTCTACCAACGTAATGCATCGTAGTTTAACGCGATCGTCTGATAAGCACTACTCTCTTTAATCAGGCGCTAAGTGTGTAACCTAATTTGTCGAAATAACGAGGCCAGTGCGAGTTTTGGCCGAGGCTTGGCGCAGCGAGCTTCTCTCTTAAGAACAAAGAACTTTTGTTCGTATTGTATGAATACATAAATTCCCGTCTTCGCCTTATGCCCTGCGTATGTCGTTGCGTTTGCACCGTCTCTTCTTGCACAGAGCTACTGTGGCAACGACTGTGAAATTTTGAGTCTCTGTTGTTGTTGTTGTTGTTTTTTGTTGTTTTTTTTGTGGGAGAACATGTACACTAAGGTACAGTAAATTGCATTGTAAACCACAAAGTTTATTTTATTTTTAAAAAGTTTGTTATAAAATTATTTTTACTGCATATTTTATTGTTACATGTATAAACTAGACTACATATCTTCTTGTCAGATGCATTGCTTCAAAATGCGTGGGATCTCATCTTCGTTGTAAGATGTTTATCTCTGACATTACAGATACACATAATTCCGCAATTGACTGATAATAAATTGTCTTTACTGACTATAACGAGTCCTCAGTCAGCGGCAGAGGAGTGTGGAAGGGGCAGTATGATGTAATGTTAGCAACTCCCAAACCGCTGCGTCTTCTGGACAGCCAAGAATTTCTTGCTCTCCGGTTCTGTCTCTGCTTCTCATTCCTCTTCTTCTTTCTCTTTTTCTTCCTCCCGCTGCTCTTCCCATTTATTTTCTTCATCCCGCTGCTCTTCTCATTTATTTTCTTCGTCCTGACTTTCCTCCCCGCTTGCGACTCATATTTTTTTCTTCCTCCTCGTCTGCTTCCTCCTCAACTTTTCGTCATTTTCTTCCTCTTTCCCTTCTTAATTCTTTTCTTCTTCTAGCTCCTACTCCTCTTTCTCTATTTCCTCTTCTTCATTCTTTCTCCTCTACCACCTCTTCTTCCCCTCTTCTTGATCATCCGTACCCGTCTAGGGTGTGGATTTCAGAAGCGTGCATGGCTGCGTTTTGCGCTCGCTCTCGCTGTGCTGGCGCCGGTCGCTCTAACCGCGCCTCCTTCCCGCAGCTCGCCACTCCCCGGCGGGCATCGCGGCGGCGGGCGAGAGCGCGGAGCGGGAGCGCGAGCGGGAGCGCGAGCGGGAGCGGGCCGGGCGCTGCACGCGGCCACGGCCGCCGCCCAACGGCGAGGTGCGCTGCCCGGGCTTCCCCAGCGACGCCGGCGCCGCGCTGCCGCCCGGAGCCGTCTGCCACACGCGCTGCCTGCGCGGCTTCAAGCTGGACGGCGCCGCCAGCCGCGAGTGCGCCCGCCACGCGCCCGGCCGCTGGGCCGGCGCCGAGCCCACCTGCGTGCGTGAGTATGACACACGCACACACACGCACACGCACATTCACGGCGCTTGGGAGCTCCTCCGGGCGGACTCTGCTAAAGGCGGATGCTCTTGTCGGTAGTTTTCCGTGTTTGCCCTGCGAGTGCTGGAGAAGTACCCTAAGAAACAGGCTACGGACCGCGTGCGAACCTATTCCTTGTCCAATTCTATTACTATACTTTGTTCTTGTCCATTCCTATTCCTTATCCAATCCTCTCCTCATACGCGCGCGTGCACACGCACGCACGCGCGCTCACACACACACACACACACACACACACACACACACACACTTCCTTGCACTAGCCCGGAGACCAGATGGGAACTTCAGTTCCAGCTGGGGCAGTGCCCCGATGAGGGAGATACCAGGAGTGGGAAACTCGGAAGTCGACGTGCACGTCGGCGCCGGATCGTACCGGCGGTGGCGGGGGCCTTGAGTGTTACCCTTCAAAAAGTCACCGATTATTTTTTCAGCCGGCATCCATTGAAACTAATTCTTAAGTTCATTATTTATTGAGAGGAAAGAGTTACTTTGCGGCACGCATACGACGAAGTATAGTTTCAGTGGAGTCTGTCCGCCTGCGTGCCTCGGTAATATCGAGCCAATGAGCCTGGATATTAACGACATCTTTAATTATTTTGATATCTGCCGTACTCAGAAACTGAACAGCAATGTATACTTTGCCGTACGAGTGCCGCAAAGAAGTTATGAATGGAGGAGATTTACTTCACTTTACACTTACAGTACCCCAACAACTACGTACTGCAAAGTAAACAAAGCACTGGAGCGACATAAATCACATTGCTGCGTCTCGCATAGTGAGAATGATCTCAAGAGTTTAACACTTGTAAGATATATGAATTCTTGCTTAAAAAATGTGGGCAACGCGTACGAAAGTGTCTTTGGCGAACTTATTTCAAAATCGGGGTCTCGGCTCATAAAGTCGCCTTCATCAACATTTCGTTCATGTGACAGACTCACTTTCTCCTCTAGTTACGTTAAACAGTGTTAAGTTTTCAGTTTCCGCGCGAAGTAGAGCGGCTCGAGAACTTTTAGATTTATTTCGTACGTGAGCGCGCGGAACGTATTATTCCATGCCACGATGTGACGAATGCCGAAAAGTGTGCAATCTATGTAGCAGTAGCGTAGCGTGACTCGCGTGGCTCAAGAATAACGTGAACTGAAAACTTCATCATCTTTAATGTTCTCTAGGACATATGTTGTCCATCCGGATAGCCGAGATCGTTAAGGCAGTAGTGATGTAGCGATCTCGGATCGAAGGATCGCGGGTTCGAATCCCGCCTCTGGCATGGATGTATTTGTGATCGTCCCTTCGCTTTTCGTCGTCATCCTATCACTTCGTTAAATGAAGGATTAAAAATGCCCTGCGCGAGCGGGAAGCCCTTGCCCTCAATGGGATGTGCAGTTGACTAATAAAAAAAAAGAATATATCTTATCGAAGCAAAAGTTTCAATGCTCCAACAGATTTATCTCAGGAGTCTTCTTAAAAGCAAATTATGCAATGGCTCAGCTTTAATTTGCATGCGCCGTTGGCAATGAGATCACGTCAATTTATGTATTTCGGACCCAAATAATATTCAATATATTTAAATAAGAATTCAACTTATTAGAAATTAATTACGAATTAGTAGACAAGTACTATTTCTACTGTTTGTGCCTATGACCAAGCAGAGAATCACGAGTGAGAAAGAAAGGTGTTTCACTGTCGACCCTACGTGTGCTGCACTCTCGTGCACAAACGAGCAGCTTATTTTCGCAGTCGTGTGCTAGCGTAAGACACTCAGGAATCTCTAGGACAGGAGGGGAAGGGGGGCCTTTGCCCGTGGCAATCTTGCGCCAGAAGCTAGAACCGTTTTAGCGTCCAAGCAATCAGAGGCCAGCTTGTAACAACACGCCGGATTCAATCATAGACAATCATTTTAAAATTATTGTCGAACGTGTTTCGCTCACTTGGAAGATTATTAATAAAATATTTAGGAATCACTGATTAATATTTTACGTGGAGATGTTCAGCATTTTAGCGTCCCCTGACAATACGCCACTGCTATGTAGAAAGAAAGTCTTTAGAATCGTAAGAGTACAAGTGCATTGAACATTACCGATAGACTTTCAAACCGGTTTTGGCAATGCATGAGTGGCATTGATTAAGATTATTTCCATGGGATAGATAATGAATAATTGAAAAAGAATACAATAAAATAAATAAAAATAATAATGCGTAGTTCATAATCAATTTTATGACACATCAATTCAAAGAACATACTAGTGCATGTGCATGCTATGAGATCAAATCGAAATGTTTCCCGACTAGAATGTGAATATTTTCTACTTGTTCATAGAGTAGGCCCCATAATTAACTAAAAATCGTTTCTTTGAAAATATGAGGTAATTTTACTAGTACCCAATTAAATTTTTAAATATCTACTTCAATAAAACTGAATGTTTCTTTTGCAACAAAAATACGTATAAAAGTTCTTGAAGTAGCGTCAAAAATTTAATGAGAAGTATGTGGGGTATACAGTTGAGATTGTACGATCGCGAGCGGTGGGGATATTATCGCCTGCTAATGCAACACACCTAACACATAAGTATAGGAAATAGCCTATTCGTCCAGCGTTTTGATAGATTTTCCTCGATCGATACGTACGTCAGGATCTTCAGCATTGTCATGATAGTTTTTTTACGATTAATTGAAGTTAATCGGAGCTCCTTGTGCACCGTGCACTGGAAAGAGGGACAGATAATTGCGAAATTGAGGAAAGGTGAGTGGGAGAGAGTAGTCATATTAGTCATCATTTGCATGGATTGCTGAATTGAAAATGTTACTATTTAGAATTTCTATTCCACTCATTAAAATCGACACCAGTAGCGTTTGTCAATGTCTGGTATGCCCCATTTAGATCGATGTATCTACAAAATCGCTTTTCCAGTCAGATTTTTCTTTTCTCTTCAGGAGGTCAATCGTTAGCTGTCATACATCGAGACAGCGTGCTAGGAAAGCGCAAGTTTCATTAATTTAATTATTAAAACAGACCAACTCTGTTTAGCATAATTTCACTCCTGATATTGTCTTATTACCTACCACTCATGAGTTTGATGAATAAATTCCCTCGTCGCTTTGCGAATCGAGAATTAATCGGAAACCAAGGCCCACCTAGTATTACTTGTTCCAGTGCACTCGAGGCCTGGGCATACTTACGTGTACCTATGAATAGAGCAGGGTATTTAGTGAAAGAAAATTCATTTACAATAAAAGAAATGTAGATAAATATATTTTAACGTACGTTTTAGAAAAATAAGCATTACCTACACAATTGTAATTTTTTTTTTTTTTTTTGCATTTTATTTCTTATGTTGTTTTATAGTAATATGTTGTTTACTGTCGTGTATTCGAAACTTATTTTAAACATTTTTACTACTATGTGTTTTAAGTCCTATCAATTTGCTTGAATTATGTTGAAAAATCAAGACTTTTTACGCTTTATTAATTTTTAACTCGGATATCAAAAAACGAAAAATCATTGAATTGTCAGAGATATTCGTTCCTCCTGCATGGTTTATGTACATAGGAGTTTTGTTATTCTGTAAATATAACTAATTATTTTGCCTTCCAGAAGATTTTTATTGTTATGTGTTGAGGAGTTTGATGTCTGGGATTGTGTGTGGTTGTGCAGGTATATGTCCAGTGGTATGCAATTGCCGTGTGGTGGGCAGGTGAGAGGGTTGCAGCTGGTATGCTTAAGCCAGATATCGGGAAACGAGGATTGAGTTTAATGGCAATGACTTTAATTCTAATGCGCTTAGGGAGCAATTACTCTCGAGAGCTCTGCACGTCGCCGTTTGCTAATGGAGGTATCAGCGTCATGTGGTATGGTGCGATTTTGTTTGCAAATGGTTTGCAACATGGTTTGCAACATGGTGGATGGGTTGCTGCACATATGAGTGATATGGAAATTGCAGACAATTTTCTAATCCAATGCATATATTTATGGAGAGTTCACATGATTTTGAGATTTTCATGATCATGGATCAGCACAAGTGTGAGAGTAAAGTATGCAAGTGACCAATGTAACATGATCAAATGTGGTTTCCTGAGGGGGTGTGCATTAGGAACATTGTAATATTGTGTAACGGTTGTACTTTGTTACATTCCATTATTGTTATTCAGTAAAGTCGAAGTTTGTAGCACAGTAAATGAATTCCATTACCTGTGTTAAGTAACATTTGAGTTACATTAGTCAACTCATGATCCAGGAATAACAAAGCAGTTCTTTTCGAAAATTTGTTAAGTGACATAGCGTAAAATTCATATATTCTCGCGCAAACAGTACCATCCATATCCTGACTTTGTCTCATATTAACATATAACAGTCCAAATATAGTTTATAACAACAATGTTAAATTAATTTCTATTACAAGACATTAGAGTGTCTTGAAACGTTCGTGAACTGCACTCGTTTTGAAAGAAATTGTTTAACGAATAAATTTCTCTTCCTTTGCGAAAAATTGTACCTTAATATGTTCATGTAGAGTTGAAAAAATGTGTATTGTAGTCACATCATCATAATAAATGTATGAACTAATTAACATTTTTAATTAATTTTCAACGGATATAGGTGACTTTCCAAATTTCTTATTTAAGACTTGCTCATCTGCAATGATCCAACCACTTCCTCGTGATTTGCATATTTGCAATACATACTTCAATAGGGGAGTTTCCCAGGATTTTTAATTCAAGAAAAGTAAAACCTCTGGTCAAAAAAAGGAAGTAAAACAAAACTATCGCCCAGTTTCCTTTTAGTCGGCTTTGTCAAAAAATGTTGAAGCATTTTTACGTTTTGTGGGAATCATTTCTCCAAAAGCATCGTTGTATTACAGATTCACAACATGGATATAGGAAATAAAAAAAAATACGGAATCAGTCATCATATTTAGCCTTGCGTATTATTTTTTTACATTCAGTTTTTACAAAGGAAAGTAAATGAATCATAAGTATACCTAACAAAAAATCCAAAACGTACCTGAATAACAAAATGTCCCTGTAATCAACCAAGGCCCGACCAAAAAAGTCAGGCAATTCAATAGCGCTCTCGCACCTTCTACAAGTGTCCCCGGAAATATGTTACAAATTTCTAGGGCACATCGGGGGTCGAAAATGACCACTTTTTGGCAATGAAGATATGCTGGGAAATTTCATATAACGAAATTACACATCCTACATTTGCCCCTAAATGGTAGGCAACTCATTATGCACTGCAGTTTGGTACTTCAAGCTCTGATGTAGTCCAAGACATTTCGTTTACCTGTTTAACACCAGTGTTTGATCGGTTGCCTAACACTGAGGAGGGCAAAAGTCACATATGTAATGATATATGAAATTTCCTACGTGTTCACTGGCAAAAAGTGACCCCATAATGCCGTAAGTGCCCCTGCACACGAGCGTTGCGTTAACGTGCGATAGGTAACGTGCGTCGTAGAATAACACTATCTAATGCGAAACGGCACACGAGCGTTTTGGGCGTTCCGCATAAGATACAGTGTTAATCCACGACGCGCGTTACTTCTCGCGCGTCACCGTAAAGTTCGTGTGGGAGGCCTGAAATTTGCTTGTGAATGCACCCCCTCGCGCGGGGCCCCCTCGTCCCCGCGGGCGTGGCGGGAGGCGTGGTTGCGGTTTGTGGTGTGGGAGGGGTGGTGATCGGTTGGTGGTTGCAGCGGTGGCGTGCCCGCGCCCGCCCGCGCCCCCGCACGGCCAGCTGCTCCCCGCCGCGTGCGCCGCAGGCAAGACCTTCCCCGGGCAGCAGTGCGTGGTGTCGTGCGCGCGCGGCTACCGCGTGGCGCGGGAGCGCGCTGCTGGCGTGCCTGCCGTCGCTGCGCTGGTCGCCCATGCGCGCTGCATCAAAGGGTGCTGGGCCCGGGCTGGCTTGCCTTTGTCGCGCTGCGCGCCTCGCCTCGCACACCGTGCATCTCTTCTGGCCGCATGCTTACGCCTTTTCTTTTTTCCTTCCTTTTTTTCTATATCCCACGCTACCTTCCTTTATTCCATCGCCTCATTGTTTTCTCTCTCTCTCTCCCCCCTTTCACTCTCTCTCTCTCTCCCCTCTCTCTCCCTCTCTGCTCCCCTCTCTCCCGCCTCTCTCCCCTCTCTCCCCTCCTCCCGCCTCTTCGCTGCCCTCTCTCCCCCTCTCTCCCCCCTCTCTTCCCCCTCTCTCCCCCTCTCTCCCCCTCTCTCCCTCTTTCTTCCACCTCCCTGTCCTTGGTGTTCTTCCTTTTCTCTATTTCCTGCTTCTCTTTCCCTTCCTCTACTCTTTTTCCCCATTCTCCTTTTTTCCTTCATCTCTTCTTTCCCCTGCCCTCCTTGCCAGTTACTCTTTTTCATTCTTTGTTCCTTCTCCCTTTTCCTTCCTCTTTTCTTTTCTCCCCATCCTCTTTCCCCTCCCCACTTTTCTTTCATCGTCCTTTTCTTCCTCTCCTTAAACTCCCTCTTTTCTTCTTTCACTTTTTGTCCCTTTTGTAGTTTCTTCCTTCCATTCAATTTTCCTTCCCTTCCTTTCTTCTAGCTTTTTTATTCTTCCCTCCTCTTTCCTCCCTTTCTCATTTCTTTTGATCCAGATTTTTTCCTTACCCTTTTATTTCTGTATCTTTTACCTTCTATTCATACTTTTCCTCCCCTCCTCCTTTTTATCCATTTCCTTCTTTTCCTTCCCTGCTTTTGTTTTTCTTCCCTTTCCTCTTACTTCTTTGTCAATTTCACTACTATCCTCCTATTCTTTCTTGATCATTTCTCACAATTATCACTTCCTTTTTCTAATTTCTGTTTTAGCTTTCCATCACTGTAAAATCATATTTAGTTATACTATCCTGAGTATCCAATAAGGGTCTACAAGATTTGGATCTTTGTGTAGCAGTGACAATGTTTTGGTCATAATTACATTCCCTTCTCTAAAATAAAAATTTATATGTATTCTAGAGATGGTAACATAATAGAACAAAAAGGACATCAACACCACTTCCTGGATACGCAAGGATAAATGACATTGAACTGCTTTGTTTATATAGCATTCTCAGCTAACTCAGTTGTCATTAAACACATTTTTTCTGTACATCCTTTTTCTATTTTCTAATTAAAGATTTTTCCAACACAAGTCTACTCTAATCACACATCAGTTCACTTATTGCACCTCTTACTATATTTATTATTTTGTAGAAATTTTCCTTGATCTTCACCTACTATTTTCTTTTTGTTCTTTTCATTTTTGTCTCACATTTTGTTTTCCTCAATTTTAGACATGCTAACTTTTTCATAAAGCCTTTTTTCTGTAGTACATTGTTCTCTTTCACCATTCTTTCCTTTTTTCACTTCCCAACACTTTCTCAATTTGTTCCGATAGGAACTTACTCTTGAAATAGACTCTGTCTTCCAAATATAAATAGTAATTTTATTGATGTGCACTATAACACGTGTTTCTTATTTCATTCACTTTTATTGCCTCTAATATTAAGTGTTAGAGAGTAATCTTAATATCTCTTTCTTTTCCAAATTTTTTTATTCGACAATCTTACCATTACAAACTAGTTAAAAACAATGATTAGATTATAAGATTAATCTGTACCAAATAATAATTTGACTCATTATTTCCCCTCTATTTCTCCCATTACTCTTCTTATTCTTCCTCTCTTTCCCCTCTCTCTCCTCTCTCCTCTCTCTCTCTCCTCTCTCTCTCCTCTCTCTCCTATCTCTCTCCTATCTCTCTCCTCTCTCTCTCCTCTCTCTCTCCTCTCTCTCTCTTTCTCATATGCATTTCCTTGCATTATGTTGCTTCTTGCTGCTACTTACTGTTGCTTATTATGTTGCTTGCTTTGTATGTGTTTTTGCTTTCTTGCTTTTCTTAATGTAGATTTTAGACTCATATTTGATTATACTATTCTTTTATTTATTTTGATACTTTAATTATGTATTAAATTTATAAAATGCAGCGCAAAATTTTGTTACATTTACATGAATTACCCACAAAAGCACAGAAATAGATTTGAGACATTATTGTATTAATTAACATGGTGCCCTAAAATATCAACACGTAAAAAGACTAAATAAATAAAACTAAATGTTTCCTGTAACATAGGGCAGCATTACAATTTTTACAACATTGAAAATATATTCATTAAAAAGACAGTTACAACACAATTTCTAATGTCAATTCTGTAAAATACTTTTCTTAATTATTTTTAGAAAGAAAGCTTTTGGAAAATATATAATGGAAAGTTTAAAACAACATTGGGGTGTTTTGATGGGATAATATTCGGAAAACAACGTTGATCAAAATAATTTAATTTTAAAAATTAAGATTAATTTTTAATATATTGTTAAATTCTTATTATTATATTCTTATTTGCAAAAATTGAAAAAATATTATATTATTAGAAAAAGAATCATACATACCTATATATGATGTGATTTAGTGTTATACTACTGTGTGTGCTATAACTCAAATTACTGAAAAATTGTAATGCGGTAATTAATAACCACATAGGTTCTTCTGAATGTAAATAAATATTAAAGATTGATAGAGTGCATATTTTAAATTTGCATTCTTATCCTAATTGTTTTAATCTTGTGAAAGTAATGTCAAATATAAACATTTTTTCTGAAATATCTTCATTCAATTTTTTTTCTCCAAGTATTTCTGTTTTATTTTGCAATCTACACATTTGTTTTCAATGAATGTAGCTTAAATGAAGTGGCTCTCTCTCAATAGATTTAATTATGTTAAAAAAGTTAATTTTAATTCTCTTAGTAAAATGTGAACAAAATACTTTTTTGTGCGTAATTTATTATTCCATGATAACTCTTCTAAATTTTGTGCATAAGCACGTGCTCAGGATAAATCAATGTCTGAAAGTAAAACTTCAAACACAATTGTACATGAAACAAACTCCTAGTCATTCTGGCCAAAAATGCTCTATGATAGATATACATGCAACAAACCCTCATTAACACAAATTCTAAGGGAGCTAAATAATTATTGTTCATGTTATAAAAATTCATGTTATCCAATTAACATAAATATCCATAGTACAATGTTTCCTTGCAAATTTTGTTTAGGTTACAGCGAAATTTGTGTTAAGCAAGTACAATCCAACAATACTTTACTGTACAATGATTTTTAAAAGTACTAATCACAATCTCAAATAATATTTTTTCCCAAAATGTTCCACAATTACTGTGCTTCATATTTCTACATGAATTCCAGACAGAGTTAGCATCAAATCTATCATCTATACTATATTTCTTTTACTTTTGCTTGATATATTTCCATATTTTTGCATTATTGAACTCTTGTATGTATTTGTATGACAAACTTAATTTAGAAATATGTTTTGTAGCCATTGCAGATACACCACGCCCTTTTATTCATTGTCCAAGAGATTTGAAAATTGAATTGCCTCGACACCAGAATTCTGTACATGTCAGGATTCCTCAGCCAAAGTCCAACATGGACTGGTGGCGGTAAGTTTGCTTTAATATTTTCATCATCAATGTTTTGAATTAATTTACTTGATTCATCAGAAAACATTAAAATAACTCTATGTGAGGAATGAGAGTAGAAGTAGGGTTTCAATGATTTAAATCAAATAATTTTATAAAATATCATTGATTTAAATATAACACTATTTTTAAAGAAATTTTGAAAATAAAAATTTATTTTGTTGATAAAATTCCAAAGAAATTAAAATTGTAAAACGTAATCAGGAATATGAACTATCACTCATTTAATTAAGAAAGATTTTATACTTTAAAATAAACAACAATTCATGTTCAAGGGCAAAATAATAAAACTTTTATATAATATTATCATTATTAAAATGTTTGTATAAAAACACAAGTTTGGCAGCTTTCTCATTTCTTAATTGGTTCCGAATTTTTTAGTGTACCAATTCAAAAGTAGAAAAAACATTTGATGCTCGCTGATGATGTAACTGCTGTTGCCAAATTATTCGTTTTTCTTCTTTGGAAAGAATCATTTCTTTAATGGCTATCCATCCCTGTACAGCAGATAAGAATTTCATGATGATAGCAATTGTGCTGATGAATGGGGCCGTTTTTAGTTGATAAGAAATTACCTTAGTTGACAGTATCACTTTACTTATCCTTTAAATACTTGAAAAATCTTCTCTTTTTCCCACACTGTGAGAGATAACTTTGTCTCTTCAAAATAGCTTGGCGTTAGCAGATAGCTTAGTAATAAGTTGCTCGTAACGTTGTTTGATTTTTTTAACAGTAGACATAATAGGGTCTAGGCTTTGTTGCAGTTTTTGCAAGTGTGCACTGCATCTCGTATGAAGCACGAGTTTCCTGTATAATTTTTATGTTAATTAAATTAGTTTAAAAATATAGAACTGATGCAAAAATTTAACATGTTGCTTTTTACAATAGACTTGAATTGGAACATTTCTGCGAAACTTTGCCAATTTACCTTCAACTTGGGAAATGTCTATTTATTTGTTTGTTTGTTTGTTCATTCCTTTGTTTACATCAAAAATAGTTAATAACTGTGTGTGACATGCTATGGGGAGAAGTTAATTTGTAGTTATATTTATGTCCAGAAGCAAGACAAGGGGCAATTCTAGCATTTGCTCAAGGATCAGGGAAACTGGACGAAAACCTGATCGAGATAGGGGTCATTTACCCAGAAGCCAAAGTACAATACTTATTATAGGTTCTTTAGAATTATACAATCCAAATGGTAAATAATACACTAAGTGTCGTTGTTAAAATCAATATTACTTTCCTTTTGGATGCTCAGTGTAGTCTCTAATTGTATAGAAACAGTTGTTCAGCGGAAAATATTTTACTTGTGACTTACACTTTTGTATCGAATTTAATCGTTTAATGTCATCTGGCAAGGTGGTGTAAAATAATATAGGCTACATGTATTGTATGTGAATTTTTGGTAGTGAGCTGTTGATACTTTTAAGGGTTATAATTATGGGGAAGAAATATATATGGTTGTGATATTGTATTGTGTTATATTTGTGTATTTGTATTTAATTTGTCAAAATGTATTTGTATTTAATGTGTCAAAACAATTTTCAATAAGTTAAAAACTTGAATCAATAGTTCTCGAAAGAAAAACACTACAACCTACTAATATTTCCTGTTTCCTCACAGTAGTCCCAACAGAACATCCTTCCAATAGAATATTTTGTGCCCGCTGTCCCATCAGGGAGCTTGCATTGCTCTACAGCTCGGCACGGTCCAGGAAAACCAGTGTCTGTGTCATCACAGAGCACTAAGTTGGCAATCACTGCTCTAGACTTTTGGATTTAATGTTAGCTAATCCATATTTGATAAAGCAAACCAGATTTTCCTATTGCAGAGTTTGATAATTCTTTTAATTAAAGCTTGGAAAATTTATTTGTTCATACTTTTTCAGGTATGTGGACTCTGATCCTCCATGGGGAAAACAATTGGAAGCTGACTTGAAAGTAGGCACTACAACTGTGACATTTACTGCTCATAATCCTCTGGATAATAGTAGTGCTTCATGTAGCGTTTTAATTTTTGTGAGAGGTGAGTATTATATGCTTTGAAGCAAATTAATTAATTGGCTTCTAAGTAAATTAATTAATTAACTTACTATGCATCATTAACTTATCATACATCTAAGCGGTGAAGGATGTAAATTTGATTGCAAGTAATTATGTTATTTTGTTTTGAATTGGTAAACAGTGTCTGAGGAAAGAGTTTCATTCATCAACAGCTTTATTAAACAAGAAGTTTTGTATGAGTTTCTATGGAAACAATCCTTTAAACTTTCTCACCCTTGTAAGATTGTAAACATGCCAGAAAACGGTGAAATTTCGACAGAAAAACTCTTATTGTCGGGCCCTGATAACGAAAAAGCAAATAAGTCCTGTTGCTAAATATAGGAAATTACTTTCTTTAACACATCGTGTAGCTATAATCCATGTTTGTGAGTCCTTGAAACCAAAAAATCGATTTATGGCAAAACGTCTCTGTGCGTCTGTGGTCAACGCTACCGCCTAAAATCTGTCCAGTCAACTCTCTTCAAAATTGATGTTCCCGGATCGATCTGAACAAACTGGAGGCTTGGGGAGCTTTCAACGGATATTTTGATTTTGGGGAGTAATTTACATTAAGCCTCAATAACGTGCTCAAAATTTTCTCAGAAATGACATCAAATGTTTTGATCAAAGTTTGTCCTCGGACTGCGTAAAGGGCGCTTAAGAGAATTGTGCAGGACTCATGTTCGTTGAAATTCCTGGTATTTTGAAAATTGTGACAGTAAAATGTTTTGGGGTGCATCTTGCTAAAACTATAATATTGAAACAGCAATATTTTTACCTTAATAAAATCTTATGAAATATTTTCAGCTGTTCAGAATTAGGTCTTTAAATAGTCAAGTACATACAACTTTTTGAAAATATTAACAATTTTATCATAATTTTTAGTAATATTGTGACAGTAAAAAAAATACATGAACAACCTTTTTTCAAAAATATCTCCAATTCCTTCTTATATTCTCGAATAGAGCTCACTTAAAATATTGTATTGATCCAATTTTATTAAATCTCTTGAATTTCAAAATTGGAAAAGTTCTTCTTTCTAAAGTTCTAAGTTTGAGTTAAGCATGAGAATTTTGTATGGTTGTACAGTCACAGATATGTTAAGAATCATTTGTATAGTTATATCCAGACGGCGTGAAAACTCCCTCTTTGGAGCTAACGTGCACGGCGGGAAAACACCCAGAAGGGGGAAAAGCGAGCCTGGGGTCGAGTCCCAGCCGAGTCTACTGTTTGAATATGCAAGGGAGAGTGCCCACCGGCATTCGCCTGGAAACTATTAATGTCGCAAATGTGCAATTTCACAAAGTCGGCACCTAGACAAAGGGGGTTGACGTGTAGCGCGTGCGTGGTTTCGGGGCCTAACCCATAGCCTAAGCTAATTTTTTGAATGGTTAGAGCAGAACAAGTATACAATGAATTCAATGACAGAAATGCTCTTGCACTTTGCTGAAGTGTTAGTAAGTTGAATCTATTATTTAGAAGTGTAATATTCTTTTTATTTAATAAGATCTTTTTTTTTAAAAATAATTCAGTAGTACACAATGATTAATGTAGGAAAATTATGCAATTTCAGATACCGAAGCTCCTAGAATGACCGACTGCCCTCAGTCATTTGATGTCCAACTTGCACCTGGCGAAAAATCAAAAGTGATAACATGGGATGAACCTATCTTCATAGATAATGTGGGTGTGGTGCAGGTTTATAAATCTAAAGTGAGTAAAATAAATAAATATATAAATAAACATTTCAATATCGAATGGAATGAATACTAAACTTGAAATGTAAATGTATAAAGGTATTTATAATAATTATTTTCTGTAATGTTTCCTTTAATTCTTACAAAATTTTGATTATTTGAGAAACTCAGCTGCTTGTTGTTGTTGTTTTGTTTTTTGTTGTACATCTCTAAGAGCATACCTGGATAAAAATATAATTAAGTGAAATGAATTTGTTAAAAATATTTTTTGTATTCCAGCATTATACACAACCTTTTTCATACTGTGCCATTTGTGGCATGAATATTTGCATTATCACATATTCATCCAATCAGAGCAAGAGGTTCATGGGGAGGTAGTGGTCATCCGAACTGTATTCCATTTACAATGTTGCATAATTGCATTTGTACCAATTTGAAAACTTGCTTGTAATGTTGGTTTTTTCAAAACCAAAATATTATATAACTTAATAAACTACTTTCATTATATACTATTACCTGCCCATATATTCTGTTTAATTTGTGCTGTTTCTAAAAATAACAGAGAATGACAGTTGAACCAATTGACATTTTGTACAATGAGGGTCTAGCTGATGGAATCATGAATTTGCAAACTTAATGAAGCATTAGTAAATCCAGCAAACTGTTATCACAGATTTCTTCTGTATGGAGTAAAGACAAAATAAAAATAAGCACTTACAATGTTTCACTTTGACACATTCTCTGCTTCAGTTTAAAATGTTTGGGAGTTTAATTCTCACTGTAATGAATTGCAAAATTGCTTCTGCTACTTGGTCTATGTCTGCTTAGATATTTACCTTCAAGATGTATTATATATAATGTGATATACATTTTATTATTATTATTAACTTGATTGGCCACATTGGACCACTTGAGTCGTTCCACTTCACTTTGGTCGACTGTCGAAGGTGTCACCTTGAGGTGAGGATAAATACTCGAGTTACAATTCTGAATGTTATTCAGAAAGGTGATAGGAGGATGATGTTATGAATCTGTGAGGAAGAGCGAAACACGACCATGTCTATGCAGGACTCGAACCTGCAGCCTCCTCGGCACAGACGACGGCTGCCGCAACCGTCTGCGCCACGGGGCCGACTATACATTTTATAATGTATATAATCTTATTTATATTTTATTTCATCATTCAGTTTTCATAAGGAAAAATCTGCACACACATTGTGTGCAGTTGAATGAAAAATTCAAGTGAAGAGCTTGTGGATAGGCATAAAGTACATTGCTTCAACTGCTACAGTAGACATGTCTAGTCGTGCTCGGGTACATTTTAGTTCATAGTAGTTCACCTCTGCACAGAGAATATGTAACTTTGTTCAATAAAATTCATTCTTTCCTTTATTTATTTATATGATTGCAATGCACAGATGTTGCACTGTGACCACCGTAATAACATTTTTAAACTAAATAATTTTACATTGTAAATTATTAATAAGGAGCTGGTAAGAATCTTCATAGATAGAGGATTTTACAGGAAAAAGTTCTTATTATTATACTTTTAAATCATGATATGAGAGTATTGATTAAACTTACATCACAGGCCCCTGCATAAACCAAATTCATTCAGTCTGATAAATTTGTATTATTCTTTACTATATATTTCTCTTTTTGTATGTTACCTTTTGTTTATAATTTTATTTGAGTAACAAATATTTTGAATTATTTGTTACCTTCTCATTAATATTTATTTATATATTTTATATAATTGTGAAAATTCCACAGAGATGAACATATTGAGGGGCCCTTAAGTTATGTCTATGTTTAGAAAAAACACTTCAAAATATTTCTGCCTTTGTTATGGCTGTCTATCCATTTTATTTTCTTGCACTTCACCATTGTTGGTAACATTGGAAGCCTTTGTCCATTGGTACCCACCATTTATCTTTCTATAAAGTGTTAAAAGAGCATGAAATTGGGCAACAAATTATTAATGGTTGGTATCGGAGGCATAGGGTCTAGTTATAGTTGTCAAACTGAACTTAACATTTCTTCAACTGCAATATTTTTGCAGATAAATAATAATTTCTAGTTTTATAATTATTATAGAATAAGTATGATGTTTCCTTCACTGTTCTTGAATATTATTCGTGTTAAATATTTTTATTATTTTTAGGAACCGGGAAAGAGTATGTCTGCTGGTTTACATCATGTTAACTACTTAGCATCTGATGCTGCAGGAAATAGAGCAAAATGCCAGTTTTCTATTCATGTCAAAGGTACATCATTTCAGTTCTCAGAAATTTAGTATTGACATTATATAAAATCTTCATTAATTTTGGGCTTTGAAAGAATTTGCGCATCAAACCCATTTAAAACATACACATATGTGAAAGAGAGGTGCATAAGGAAGAGTTAGTTGGTCTGCACACACATAGTTCCATTAGTCAGAATCCTTTCAACTTTGTTACACACGTATTTGAAGTCGCATTTGAAACCGGATGCATATCAAGAATCTGTATCGGTTCTCCACAAATGTGCTATTTCAAATTATTTCATTTTATACAAATATCTTATGATTTCATTTATATATACATACATATGCTAACATATATACATATATATAAAATTTTACTTTGAAATAATTCTTAGCATAAATTGAGGTTTAATTTGTATTACTTAATAAGATGTTTGAGGTCAGACAAAAAAAGAAATAAGATAGCTATTTAATTTGAATAGATATATTGTTGACATTAAGATTTATGTCTTATTCTTGTCAGAATAAAGTGTGTGTTGCCAATTTATGAACAGTACCTTTTCGTTCTCTTCCAGAACAAGAACCACGAAAACTGCCTTATGTAAGTACTAGCATGTTGAAATCACACTTGTTAATTAATGTGTAGTAATGAGTAAAAAATTTGAAGTCATCTTATGCATGAAATAGCTTTTAGATTAGGAGAAGAAATATTTTCCCTTTATGAATTTGTCCTGTGACTGCCTTCAAAAAAATCTTTTTATGGGCATCTTGCTATTGTGAAGATTATTTTCAAATTCTTGATTCCCATAACAATACCGTTTGTCTTTACAATTGCCAAGAGTTATTGTAAAGTTTATCATTTAGAAAAGATGCCAGTGTATTTTAGAATTTCATTCTTTACATATTGGTAATTTAATTGGGCCAGGAAAGCTTGTTTCCACAAGCATCCTGAAGTTATTCCAGGATTAGGTGATCATATTTGATTTGTTTTTTTTTTTAATATTTTAGTATGTGTTTATGGCTTTCTTCTCTAAGCTCTCTTGAAATAGTTGAACATTGCTTGACACTAAAGGAATTTGTTCTCGCATTCATGGGTGATTAGAAATTTGCTTCATGCTTACATTCTTTGTTAGTTTTATTTTGCATATACAATTTGTTCTTATTATTTTTATGTACTATGTGTTTTGTTTTACTGTTATTTTTTTGGAATTTTTTGCAGCCTCCTAATACTTCCTTCAGAAAAATGGTCATATGCCCTGGAAGAGCTGTTACGAGAATTGTAACACCTGTGTATCCAGTAAGCTAAACGTTTAATAGCACCGTTCAAATTTAAAAGTATAGCTATGTACTCACACAAAATGTTCTAAATGTGTGGGCTAAGAGAAAGGAAAAATACCTATTATTTCCATGATTCTGAAGCATTGGTCACAACAACAAAATTTGTAATGTCTATTTTCAAAGTCAAAACATGGCTGTAAAGGGTTTTTTCCACTGGTGGTGAGATTTCATTAAGTTTCATGCTGTTTGATTTTGAGACTGCAGTTTCATTATGTATAATTTATTCTAACGATTGATGGAATGGTTATCACATAGTAAGATTTTGAAACCTTGCCTCTCATGATCTTTGGCAGAATAGTTCTTTTCACCTGATTGCAAATATATGTAAGTTTCCCTAAATTGGTAGTAGCATGGTGTGCAGCTGCATTACTTGTTTGCAGGTTGGTATCAATCTGTAAAGTGGGAGTGCAATACACTGTGTCCCCATATATAAGTAAAGAATATCCATGGGCTGAAGGGCCAGAGCAGTTTACTCACCAAAATAAATTCACTGATCTCTTTAGGGTTTGTTTTTGATTTACTAATTCATAGGGTAATACTAGTCTGACCATTGTGATTTCTCCAGTATTTTAATTTTAAAATATACTATCATAAAAGACCGTGTCACCAAAATTGACATTTTCATGAAAAAGACACTATCTTTTTAAACAATCTTTATTTTATTTGAGATGACAAAATATTATCATTTTATGAATTAAAAAAAATAAGTTTTCAAGTTTAATATTATTTTATTGTTATTTTTTTGTGTTGCATTACTTTTATGTTGCTTTGATTTTCCTTTATCTCACACTAGTGGCAGATACCAAAAGGTTGCCACCTGGGTCAAGGCAGAGTGACTTCCACTACTCAAGTCATGGCAGGAACTTTTACTATGAGGCAAGGATCAAGGCAGAATCCTTCAGTTATTCCTCAAAACCGAGGTATGAAACATGTCTGCATAGGTTATCTTTTGCAGATGTTATATGTTTCCTTAAATATAATGTTAAAAGGTTAACATATTGCCCTACAATCCCATAGGAAATATACAGAATATTTTAAATTCTTGATCTTGGATTGTTGTTTGGAATATGTTCTCTAAGCAATTCTGGGGCTTTGTTAAAATGTCTTTTGAATTCTGTAACATTGCTGAAATTTCTTCTTTATCGTATAATTAATTTGTAGCATGAGTTAACTGCAGTTTAGTGTTGTTTTTTAAAGTCCATGTCGAAGAAGCATGGTTTTACTGAACCAAGATGTCATAAATGTTACAAACATTGAAGTCTCCTATCTGTAGAGTCAAGTAAAAAGGGCTAGAAATTTGTTAAGTCTAGGATGATTTATCCATATCTAAGATATCAAATAAATTCAAAATTGCAAACATATAAGGTAATAGACTGTTAAACAGATGTCATTTATAATTATGGATAGGGTGTGATGTCATTTGAACAAACAAGATCCCACACGCTCCATCACGAAAGCCTACATCTTCATGTCATTTCAAGGTATTCTAAACAACTGATGGTAGCACTCGGTACTTAACTTTCCTACATAGCACATGGACATTTGAGATTGTGGTTCTAAAAGAATATGATGCTTGTACACCATTGGTTATACTCATGGCATACCAACCTACAATACATTTAGTAAATTTAATGATGATAAATTTGTTCATTACAAAGTCCTGAAAGTAGAGAAACAAAATGTTTTCAAATGTCAATGAATTGAAATGTAAATTTTCTTCAAATAAACTCCCATTAATCTTTTGATAATGTTGTTTAGTTGTTAAATGATTAAGTAAGAGACACGACATTCTACAATCCTCCCTAAGATGTCAAGGTCATTACCGAAAATTTCCAATAAATAAAACATTCTTCGCTTTTTGTCCATTTTCCATTGATTTAACTTCCAACTGCTTTTTGTAGGTTTGTTCTTTGATTAGACAATGAATTTAAGTTTATAAGGGATATTATTTTTTTGTATTCTGCCTTAACTTTGTTTGTGCCTGGCTTCTTCATTCTTGCATGTTGTATGTGTACTGGGGTAATTTCAATAGACAAGTATTTTGCTACAAAAATTGCTGGTTTTAATTCCTTCAAACTTTTTTGAGAGGAGTAAATAAGTTCTCTCTTGTCTGCTTTGTCTTCATAATCAACTGAAGTGTTAAATTTTAATTGTGTTGATGGTTTATATACATGAAACCTGACTTAAGCAGCCACCAAAGGTTCTGGCAAAAATTGGCTGTTAATTGTTGGTGGACTTAATGAAGATTATGAAGTTTCTGGAAGCATAAATCGAGTGTAATTGTACTCATGGCTATGAAATTAAGTATGTCATCTTTAACATATGTATTTACCATACATGACAAAAATAATTTAAACAAAGCACTTAAGATCATTTGCCTCCTCTTGGCTAATACTAAAACACACCCTGGTCTTGTTACTCATTCTCTTAGATGAGAACTCTCTTTACATCCTTGCCAAATCAAAAAAGCAAACTATACATTAAGATACAATGCATATTCTGTAGAAATTTTAGAAAGTAGTTAACAAATTACCTTTTGCACACAGAGTCGGATTTGCACACACGGAGTGTTCTACAAGTCGTAAACAGATTCCCAGTGTTTGAATAACATGAAAGACAGCATGTGTTAGCAAATGCTTGGAAATGGGATAATCAAACACATCGTTTTATGTAGAGATATTTATTAAAATCTATGTTGTCATCTGAAACAGAAAGTAATCCTCCTGCATCCAGGCAGAGATATCTTCATTCAAAGTAATCTGACAATGCATCCCATCATAGGAAGTTATTTAATCAACAGTAACCTCCACAACTTTTCTGCTTGTTAGAGTACAGTTCAAAATTATTTGAGGCGATTGCTTAATAAAGGTTAATCTACAAAATCTGCCTCACTGCTGGCAACTTAGAAAGGCAGCTGCTGAAAAGAGGGAATATTTACACATGTGGAAAAATCAATCAGTTCCACCAAAAAGTGGTTATTAGAGGAGATAACTTCTTAATTGAGGTAGCCTTGAGGAAAATTTCTGTTGTCACTAACTATTGACTTGAGTGGTCAGCATTTTGACCCACGGGCATTAACTGTGCAATACAATTCTGAATTTGCTTAGTATAATTTGAGTTTATTATATTTTGTAAATTTTAATCATTATTTAAAGGAGCTAATTATATTTTTTGTATTGTAGGACATCGAATACGCCACAGAGGACCAGGAGAAAAGCGGAGAATGAGGAAACAACGGTTGCAGTCAAATACATCTCCTGATACACTCATCCAAGTTCCTGAACAAAATGTTGCTAACACCAGAAGACATTGTTGTGAGACCTAATAAAATGTGGTGTTGTGGAAGGCAGTGTACAAATTTGTGGTAACATTTTTGAGGGTGTGATGTAGCATTTTATAATGAACTTTGTTAATTTAAGAAGTGAGCTAATAGTGAATTACACAGAACTGAATTCACTGTTCAGCCTGTTGAAGAGATGGTCTGATGAATCTTCCCTAGGACAGACTGAAAAATTAGTCCATATTTGTGATAATATTTAGGAGGACACCAGACGCCAGACACATTAATTTATGTTGTAGATGGTGCAAAATAATAATGCTCTCTTACTTTCTGTACATTCTATTGAGAAAGCAAGATTTTCATGCATAAAACTATGTCTATATTTTGATGGAAATAAATGTATTGATAACCCTATAATACTAAGCGACTATTCCCTGAAGAAAGCCCGGACATATGATGTGCATCTGATGAATGTCTGTGCAATACATTCCTGAGAGTTTGCTTAGTACAATAGTTAGGATAAGCATTCTTTTAATTTTTGTTGAATTGTTTTGTACAATGTCTTTTGAAGATGGTATCACAAACATTGTTATGAAAATGCGCATTGTGTGTTAAGTGTATAACATTCAGAAATATACGAATTGACATTGAGTGCATTTCAAAAATATTTTTCAATATGTCATTGAATTGAATTGAATTGCAGGTCTGAAACTTTTTTTCTGCGCATCAAATTGACCTGGTGTCTATACTCTGATAAAAACAGGAAGACCTTTCAAGGTCGTGAGCTGGCAGGAAAGGGGGACATTGTCATTGAATTGTGAGCTTTGTTATGACTTAAATTTTTGGTATTGATGCTCCTGATTTGTTGACAGTGTTCCCCTCTCGTTTCAGCTCATGATCTTGAAAGAACTTAGTGTTTTAATAAAAGTATAATCCTTATTTTAGCATGGTGAGCTCATATTTGCAACTTGCATATATGCTACATCATGTCATTTCAGGCTGTTTTGACAATGTAAAGTGTAATTTCCAATTTTATAAAAATTTCTCATTTTTAATCATACCTTTAAATGCCTGAAACACTCTAGAGCATAATCAAATCTGTTAATTCTATGCTTCTGAACGTTTATGGTAAATTTAAAAGAAATCTAAACATACCATAAGAATATGTTATTTTCTTCTTTTCATCAAACATTCTTTTTCAACATTACCAGACAGCTCACAGGAAATTTCAAATTAATGTAGGACAATCTACCATGACCAACATTAGGTTTCATTATAAAATGGCATTTTTGTTATTCTTGTTGAACTGTAATATTTTAAATTGACCGAGCAAAGTGGCTCAAGTTGTAGTGTGCTGACTTCTCGTTCAGGGGCCCGGGTTCAATCCCTGTGCTGGCCATCCTAGCCGGGGTTTTTGTGGTTTCCCTTGTTCATAAACCCAAATGCTGGGATGACTACTGAAAATCCACGACTGTGAAGCAGCTGTCGCTGGCCAAATTCGTAAACTACATGAGGTCACGAAAGTTAAGCAAATTCGAGACATCGTGAGTTCCTGGTCGGGTGACCAAAAAGGAATCCCAGGACCTAATTGCGCTGAAGCCAATTGCCCTTTATAGGACATATAATAGCTAAATACAAATACAAACAAAGTTTAAATTGACCAAAGTAACAATTGTAATGTTTTTCTTGTTCATCTCAAAATATTAAAATGTGTATAGATGGAGACTCTTGGGTACAAACTCCAGTGAATGTTGCATTAATTTTTGGCAAAAGAAGACAAAAAATCCTTTTGAAGTTTAAACTTTTTACTTACTATAACATATCCATTGCCGTGCGCTGTGGAGCCTAGAACAAGAGATGGGGCCAACTGAAATTCTAAGGCACCTTTTCCATTAAACTTTTTCATTTATATACAATATACTTTATTAGTAAATAAATAAAACATACTATGAGAATGAAATTATAACTTTAATGACTCAAGCCTGGTCAAAAATGAGAAATTAACATTAAATTAGAATTTTCAATCCATGTGAAAAAAAACACACACACCTATCAAGATAAGAAAAAAAAAGTCTTGCAGATTTCAATTCTGCCAATCAAATTGTGGTTTAGACACTTCTTCAATTTTGTGCCCTACAATCTTTTTTAGGCCAGTGTAATTTTCCTGAAAAATGCATGTTTGTGGTATTTATCTTGCTTGCAGAAAAAAAAGACATTCAATTTTAATGTCATTAACAGTTGACCCTAAACTTATTAGTTCCTTCCTATTTGTTCAAACATTCTTTTTTATCACACATTGATTTGAAGTTGTGAAGAATTGTTCACCTATTACAATACAAAAACTCAGATGTTGTGTCAAATGATTAAACCTGGTTAAACCAATATTTGAGACTTGGACAGTACATTTTAAATGGAACAAAAAAGTTTGGGCACAAAGTGATAACTATGTTTTTCGAAAGAATAATCCATTAAACAACTTTGCTCTTGTATGTGCCTCATAAGACACTGTAAAGTAATTATTATAATCAAACACACTATTTTTCACGATAGCATACATATTGAAGTTTTAAAAAGGAGTACTAAAATATTTATACAGGGTAGGAACAGTGTATGTTTGTATAGTAACATTACAGATGAAAAATTAAATAATAACTTATGTTTGCAGTCATATCCACAACTCTGAAATAATCATACTTCACTGGATACAAGTACTCATAAGGGTGTACTTCTTAATAGAAAAGTATAAAGAGCAATCGCAATGAGAAAAATTGTAGGAAAAAATATGATGTATAACTCGTAAAACTCAGCATTTAGTTGAAACGTGTAAAAATAATAATATTACTATAGGTGTCCTTATATCAAAACAATTTCAAAAACATATACTGTTCTTGCCTAGAATGCATGTATACTTAGGGAGAGAATGAGAAAAAAAGGAAATAATAATATGAGTATATCTTTAATGCTTAACCTAAATTTCAGTTTGTGAGAATAGACACTTTTTCCACAGAGGAAGTCAATGGACATGAAGAAGCAATAGAAATATACAATTTAATCTGCTGATAATAGTTTCTGAAGATTCTGCCCTTTCCTTTTTAATTTTATTTTAATGTTATAGAGCATAATAAGACTGTCATAAATTACCCCACACTGATTTTATTGGTACTTTGCACATTTAATATTTTTAACAAAGTTATTGTTGAAAAATGTAGAATGCTAATCGAGCAATGTAATGCAGAGTTTTGTTGATATATTTGAAAATATAGAATTGATGTGTAAAAATATTTTCTTATGTTTTGCTAAGAAAAATACTTGAAAAGTATTCTCCTGGTTGTGTTACAAGTAGTGACCAGTTCTCCCGTGGCATATGTAATTTTTTTTTTCTGTAATGGATAAATACTTTTATTTGAGTGGCTTAAATCACATTATTGAGTGTGCACCTTTTTCTGCCAAAGAAAGTATAAAACTTTAGAAAACATTCAACAACAACATCAATGTTCCTGAAAATTAAAATTATTTCATTTATTGATAAAACTAATAAATTAAAGAAAATCAAATATGAAGTAACTTGATTTTTACATTTAAAACATATCTCTGGAAACCTAATGTAGTAATATTTCCTTTATTATTAATTCATACTATTTATCTGTTAAAAAGATTTTTAATAAATATCATTTGACAATAATGTTTTTTTTAACAACACATTAAAGAATTTTAAAGACAGACTTGTTGGTGTAAAGACAGACAGTTAATGTAAATGGTAATATTTTGTCAATTTTCAACTGAGGAATTTGTTTGTTATCTCCGGAGAGAAAAAGGAAGAATAAAGGTCTGTAAATTTGCAGTAGTGTCTTGTGTCTGAAAGACCAATATGCAAAAAAGAAATATAATGTATTTGTTGAAAAGAAAATAGACAAAAATATTCTCTACAAAAATAAAATGATAGTCACTAATACCTGTTGTTATGTATATTACTTAACACAGTTGCATATCAGAGTCCCATAATCCTTATTAAAGGATTCAATATGTTTGTTTTCCAAGCATATCAAAGAAGGTATGTGAAATAGGTAAAGATTTATGTCACATTATTCATGTTACAGATGGTGTCCAACTATGTCCAACAATGCTATGATCTAATGTATGACATCTGACAAATTATGACATTAAAGAAATATTAAAAATATGGTCATGAAGCTGACAACAAGAGATATAAATGAAAAGTGAAAATGTCTCTGAGAAATGTATCCTAAATTTATCATTAAAAAAAACTGTGTGAATACTAGCTAAAAAAGGAAAATTATTCATTCATTCAATTAACTGAATAATGTAAAGTGAATATTTTAGTCATGTACCTCAATAATATTTTCTCTTTGTTTATATTAAATAGGCTTTTTTTCACAATAATTATTCTTTCACATCCTCCCATACTTAACTACGAAATGATGAACAAACAAATGCATATTTTACCTAAATTATTAAATATAGAATCCCCTTTATTATTTTTGTTTGTTGACTCTTAGAGTATACTTATATTACAAACTATTCTACTCGTAATTCTTATTAATAGCGTAATTTTTAATGCAATTGCTATGACCATGTGACTAAGTTAAACTAAGGCACGTACTTATCATACATGAGAAATTTTACTGACAACATGCACAATAATGATTTTATAAAATATTTATAATATACATTAGAAGAGAGTAGTATCATGAAATGCTTCATTATTTCTACAGATGAAAAGACAAAACTGCATCTCATAGTGACAATGTGCACTTGTATGAGACAGTGTATTACTTATATTGTTGATTGTATTGGAATATCTTTTGTGTACTATCTACTCTTGGAATTTTATGTGCCCTGATCATTGATGAAACATTCAAGAAAATAATAATTTGATGTAAATAAATATATAGGAAAATTCTATTGTACTTCTGTATTTGTCTCCCAAAGGCACCTGTTTATTACTTAAGAACTATTTATTTAAAAAGAAAGAGGTATATTTGGCAAAATATTTTTCTTTCAAAATTACCCTTTTATGAAGTGTATAGCATGTTTCTAGAATGGATATCTGTGTACCTAGAACATTGATCTCAAAGAATAGATATACAATACTTGCCTATAAGGACATTATGTATTCACATTTCCAATTATTTGCCAATTGAGCATGGGTTTCCACAGAATTTTTTAGGTCCTGTCCTCTTCCGTCTAAACTTAAATGATATGACCTTGTTTCTTCCATTTAATGACAGTTCTCTATGGTTTGAATAATATTTAGGAAAAAGAAACACTAACTTCAACAAAATCTGACATTAAATTTTTTTCATGCTAACAAGGAAGGAATGGTTTCAATCCAGTTTTATGCTTCAAACAAGCAATTGAATGTACTGTTGAAAATTAGCAATGTGTAAGTAATCTTTTAATTCAGTCAAACCTCAAATGGAATGTCTATATAAATGTACTCAACATTAAATGAAGTTAAGTATGTGACACTCAAAATTCTTCCAATTTAGTCTTCATGCAGCTTGTGTATAATTTGTGAATCTACATTCATAACTTAGATATGGCTTACTATATTGGGAAATTACATCCTACAGTACTCAGACTTGGATTACAGAATAAACCATATGAATAATCTGCAAATGTCATCCATATGATTCCTGCACACTTCTCTCTGAAATAATCATACTTCACTGTACAAGTACCCATAAGTGTGTTCTTCTTAATAGAAAAGTATAAAGAGCAATAGCAATGAGAAAAATTGTAGGAGCATGCATATCTCACAAAACTCAGCATTTAATTGAAATATGTAAAAATAATATTACTATAGTTGTCCATATATCAAAACAATTTCAAAAACATACACTGTTCTTGCCTAGAATGCATTCATACTTTGAGAGAGATTGAGAAAAAAAGGAATATTGGGGTTGGAATACTACCATTGATTTGCCTATGAAATCTGTGATTTTGGTTGAAATTGACTTACACAAAGCTGAGGACAATTTTCAAGCAATACTGATACTTATAATTATAACACGCTACACAGGAGTCATATGTATAAGGTATCATTGGCTGAATAAAAAAAATTGTACATAATTCATTTACATTTTTTTTTTTTTTCAATACATTGGCAGATTACATTGAAAATTAAAATCAATACATAAGTTTAAATGCTAAATACAAAAGTTTATTTTTTTTCCTGCACAATTGTAACAATTAAAGATTATGTTCAGTTTCAAAAATGGAAGGAAAAAATATTGCAATTATTATATTAATATATAATGTAAGAAGTATATTACAAAAGTATTGTATAACTCAAAATGTGATGAATTCTGATTATGACTGTAACAAGTAGTATTGAAATTAGCTTCTGGATCAAGATTTTCATGGTCGCTTGTGTCTGGATTTGTTTCTGGTCAGATCTACAGTTTTGAAGGAAGTAGCTTTGACAAGAGAAAAAGGTGGTCAATTGAAAGCATTTATATGCTTTTCCTGTAATCTTTGTTTTATGCTATGAATTCTCTCTTTCAGAACCATAACTGACTTGCAGGAATCACTTCAGTTAGTTTCTAAAATTTAGGCATCTTAAGGAAAACACAGTGACGTAACTTTAGTTAGTGTCACCTGGAGTAATCGTAGTGCCACTCCCCACTTATACAACAATCAAACATAAAAATGTATATAATAAAGTAATCTGCAAATGAGTTTTCTAGTAAAAATTAAATTTCAAACTAGTGATGCTATAGGACATACTTTCTGGTATTATTGGTAACAATTTTGTTATTGTTGTTGTTGTTGGTATTATTATTATTATTATTATTAT